AAGGTGAACAAGATTAAAGAACAAGTAAGCATACAGTTAAGGCCCAAGTCCCAGTGCAAGCCAAAAAGCTAGCAGCAACGGCGCGGTTCTCCCCAAAACAGCAGCACATCCACCTGCTCTCTCACTTTCACCCTAAAGCCAAGTGCTGCCTCATTCTAGCAAAGGCCCTTAACCCCCTGCACAGCCAGAGCGTTCCTCCTGCCATTAGCAAACTGGGAACATACCCCATCACTGCACCAGAGGGGACCCCAAGTAGCTCAGAATCCACCGCACATTGGTGCCACTCTCAATCTCAACAGGTCCATATCTACCCTTTGCTCCTGATTTCACAACTTGATGCATTTGCTCCCATTGTGTCCATAAGAGCTGAGCAGCACGGCCTTTCAAAGGGAACCTTTAACTCTAGGTACCTCACCACTGAGATTCCAGGAAGGCCTCTTTTCCTGGGAAAGCTCTTAAAGTCAATCGGAACTAATTAAACATCCATGTCCCACGCAGTCTGCAAAGTGTAGAATAAACTAAATATAAATTTAAGTAGGCGCTAATGGAAACCCAGAAACAAAGGTGAGGCCCTGTTTGCGATAGGCCTCCAAATGACTTGAAAAAGCAAACTGGCACATTCCTGATAAGAGGGCATACTGGATTCCCTGCAGAAAGTCATCTAGAAATCCTCGTGGGTCATTTGATGAATGGGTCCATCTGAAAACTGGCTGAAAAGCAAATGGAAATGTTGTATAAAGGGTTTGCTGGAGGAGAAGACTCCTTCTGTATGTCTCAAGCTTCTGTCTGTCGGAAATGTTCATGCTGTTTGCGGGAAGTTATTGCAGATCAGGTCACAAATTATTTCATCAAGGTGACTGCGTGTCAGCAGGGGCTTAGCTGCATCATCTTCTGCTTAAGCAAAGCATAAAATCACAAAATAAAGAAATAAAGACAGTGGAAAAAAAAATGCCAAAGTGGATGAGAGTAGGAATGGGCCTGACAACCTCAGCAGGGTGAAGGACTCAGACCTGCTCCTCTCTCTTGCTTGAGCTTTTGGTCATCCTTGATGAAGAACAAATGATGGATGGACCTGCTGTGACTTCTCCTTGTGGGAACAACCTCTAGATCCTCAAAGCCTAGCTACTTGCACACAGAACAAAGCAATAGCAGCCTCAAGCCAAGCGCTTCTAACTTCAGCTACTGAGACCCCTATCAAAGACACAGCCTGTGCCACCTACAGCCCTTCCTTGTGGGAAGGACTTATTCCCCCTCCCACCAAAAAAAAAAGGGGATTTCACTTAGGTTGCACATTTTCTGCTTTGATGTAAAAGTAGGAAGCTACTTCCACCAGGAGATCCATCACTCTCCCTTCTCTACTAAGGAAACTCCCAAGGGACACCAATGTGACTTAGTAGATCATCCTTGGGCTGCCAGTTGCACTCATTCCACATTCCACAACAAAATGACAACAACAATTTCCACTTCTCACCAATTGCTTCAGCAGCTCCAAATGCCCCTGCACTGCTGCAGTGTTTTTAATCCAGAAACTTGCCATTTTGGCCATGGACCGCATCCAGTGTTGGCCTTTGCTATCTGCACACTAGCTAGCTGCAAATATACAGATCGATTGTGTGAAACAAGAGCCTGCGTGTTTGCAGGAAAATGTTTTAACTTGGCTCCTTATGTAAGCAGCTGCATTAGCAGCTCCAGGAGTCAAGGACTAACCCGCCTCAGCCTGGACCACTAGCACCTACGAGAGATTTCTGCAGAGTGTTTCGCTGTGACTCGTTCCCTCTAGCAGCACAGCAAAAGCAGCACAAACTAGCCCGTCCTGAGCGGCTCCCGCAGGGCTGCTGCCCCAGCAGTGACATCACCCAGTCACACATCAGCCTGTCTATCCCAAGAAGTGCTCAGGGGTTGTCCCCAGCCTCTATTTGCAAAGCTCTTGTCATAACTCCTGGACATTTAAGATGCTGCAAACACCTGCTTGGACCTACTGTGGTTCGCAGCAATAGTTGTGTTTTCTTTCCTTAGAAATCATCTTGCCACTGACACAAGCATTCCTACTTCAGCTTAAGCAGCTAGATATTCATTCTAGCTAAGGAGAAAAGACAGACAACATTGATTCTGCCCATCCTACAGCAACCAGCAGTACTTGTCTGCAAGGAACCGTCGATAAATCTCTTGCAACAGAATCAAAGGCAAGTCCCAGGCGCAGCTTCCTCCTCACACTTTCCAGTCCCCCTGGATTCTTCCTTGCTGCTGAATTCTCCAGGCTACAGCTACCTGCCTCCTTGCATGTGCAAGGACATTGGCATTGTCCCTGTTAGCCAAGTGAAACCTTGTCCCATCAAGCCTGGAAAGCTCTACCCTGCTGGTTGTCTTTAACAGCATGAGCTGTGGTGCTGACCACCTGAAGGCGACTGTTCACATCTTGGGGCTCAGCAAGGAGTGCAAATGGATCCAGCTTTAGCAAAACCAAACCAAACCAAAAAAAAAACCTACACGGAGATTTCTGCTAGGTCATGTTTGTGCTGGAGCAGGTTCTACCACAAAAAAAAAAGAAAGGAAAATGTTGCAGATGAAGGAAGGGAGAAAGTAAGCTGATACTACAACCAGCCTCAAACCCTTGCAAACCCTGGGCCTCTCCTTCACCCACCCATCACTCTGGCCCCATTTCTTTTCTGTGCTGGCACCCATCTGACTCAGCCCCCTTAGGGAAGTGAGTAAATAAACAGGAGGCCTACAAGGTCCATCAGTGTAATCCCTGACAAGGATTACTGGAAACCAATCAAGTGTCAGTCCCGATGCAAGGGAGATGGAGTAGATGGAGGTAGGAAGGAGGTTGCTGCTAGAGGAGCAGCAACTGCCGCTAACTGAGCTTCATTGAGTGGTTTCACCACACCCTTCCTAACACACTGGCCACATTGTAAAGTGGAAGGAGAACAAGATTGGTCAATCAGCATTTGATAAAAACCACGGTGGAAGAAAAGAAAAAGGTCCTTTCAGAGCTGAGCCCTTTGTTTGAGGAGGATATGGTTAGTAATTTGGGGCTTGCCTGGCCTTGTTAGATATTAACAACACAGCGTGGACCTTTCTATGGCAACAGGAGCTGTGACAAGTTCTTGCATGGGATTGTGTCTCCAAGTGGGTCATGCTGTGGGGAGTCCTTGCTGGGTGATCCAGTGGTTGGAGGTCCTGGTCACAATTCTCCTGTCCTCCCCACCTTTCCAAACATAACTGGTCACATTAACCCCACATTTAGACTTGGAAAGGGACCACAGAGCCATGATTTTCAAGCATTTCAAGCAGTTTACTCCACAACCCTGGGAAAAGGCCACCCGCTGTCCCAAGATCCTACAGGCAGGCCCCTCAGGAAATAGCAGCAATCCTGAGTGCCCTGAGGCAAGCTGAAGCCTCCTGGCTCATCATCTCCCAACTCCTGAGGGAAGCTGTGGCAAAAGACCTATTTGCCTCCACTCAAAACCTCCTGGAAAGGGATAGCAGGAAATCACCACCACAACCCCTTCAATAACACTTGTGGTCACATTGCCATACTCCTCAACAGTCTCCCTGTGATGCAATTGTCATCTGTATTCCAAGAGAGCTGCTGGCACCCAGACAACACCATTTGGGGTATCCTGTCACCAGACCTTGCTGAAAACAGACAGCTTTGTTTTTTGCACTTCTCCTTTACAGATGCATCAAGATATGCCCAGGAAAGAGGCTGTGAGGAAGCAAATGGGAAGACAGGAGATGCTGAACCTGATTGCACACCAAAACTGGGTCTCTCATGATTTGCAGGCCTGTTCTTATGGACACAGTGGAGCTGAGGAAGCAACAAATCCCACAGGTTCTTCCACAAAGAGGGGAATCAAATAAAATCAAGATCAAGCCTGCCTGGGTACCTTCATATTCCTGGGCTTCTCATTCCCAGTGTGCCTGTGTGGATGCTTCTAGGAAGGGAGCATCCAAATCCTGCCTTGAGATGCTCACAGACCCCCAGCCACCTGCACCATGGTTCCACAAACCAGGCTTATCTACCTCAGATTGTGTGAGACATGGTTGCACCTGCAGTGAATAGGAGGAAGAAACACCACCTCGCAATCCAGACATCCCATGTAGTGGAAGGCAGCCGCAGCAAAGGGATTTGACTCATGCAAAAGGTAAGCCAGTTCATGTGTCTCACCCAGCCCCAAGCTCCAAGATAAGCTCCCAACCACAGCAGATAGCAGGAGCACAGGATGGGTGGAGAACACAACAGCCCTACAGTAAACTTGTGGTTTTGATGAGGTGGACAGGGAGAGGCGGCGCCTCCCTGTGCCAGGGAAGGGAGGAATGAGCTGCCACCCTGGCACGCTCCTTATATGAGAGAAAGGAGGAAAAATGGCTCAACAGTGGCAAAAGGAAGACATTTTGGCTGAAAGGGAGCTCAGGCAGGTGTAACTACCTGCTGTGCTTTTTCTGACAAGTACAAGCAAAGGCAAAACATGCCCTGCCAGGGTCCTTCAGACAGTGACAGACCAGGTACAAGAGCAACCTGGTCTTGCTGAGACTCACAAGGGCAGAACGGGTGTTACACAGCATGCCTTGATGATCCTCATTGCAGAGGTCACAACCACCTCCTCCATCTCCAGCACCCCTTAGGTATGTGGTTCATTGTCATCCTGCCATCCAGACTTTAGCATCCTGGGTCTACAGAGCCATGGCTGTGTCCTTGCTGATGCTCTGTGAGCTGTTAGGATGAGCCTTGGAGGAGAAGGATGCAGAGGAAGAGCTACTGTAAAGAGAAGAGACACTGGGGGAAAGGATCAGCTGTGGATCTTCGTCACGGAGGGCAGCCTGCCGCTTCTCTGCTGAGATGTCTTGCCTTGTCCACCAACCAGGAGGAAGCAGACCCTGTGACTCACTTTTCTGCTGCTATGGGCACGTGGGAGAGAGAACTGGCTTCCTACCAGATGTGCCCCGCAGCTGGTCATCCTGACAGAGAACAGTCTCAGCATGGGAGGGAGGTGACTATGGACAAGGTAGGAGGCCAGCCTGAAGTGCTTGGAGTACCAAACGCTTCTCAAATGTTGAGGGCTGTGCCCCGAGCACCAAGTAACATGAGGGGAAGCACAGGGTGCTTCCAGCACAGATGAAGCCTAGCTGTTCTAGAGATGGTTTAGCCCTGCGCTGGGCAGATGCGATCCAGTCTCTGCAGACCTCTCCACAACACAGACCCAGACATCGTAGCAGCAGAGTGACTACCAAGGGACAGGCACTCCCAACCTCAACTTTGCCAAGAAGGAAAAGGCAAGCACACAAGAAGGCATATAAAGAAGCAAAGCTATCTCACGAAGAGCAGAGCTGGGAGGACACAAGAGGCCAAAGAGGATCAACATGCACCAACGACTGTGTCCTTAAGTGAACCTGAGGGAAAAGGCAGGGACACAAAAAATGAGTGGTACAGCCAGCCACCACCTACTCCCTCCGGCCACCACGGCTTCCAGGACACTCTGCCCACGGTCTCTAGAAAACAGCAATGATTCGCACCCGGCCTGCTGTGGAACTTGGCCGCTCCAAGCGAGCGCTCCCTCCCTGGGGGCAGGCACTGGAGAGCGGGGCACCAGCGTGGCCCTCTGCTCCAGCCTCCAACGCCAGGCACCCCGGGGAGGGGCCAGCGGATACGGGAGCGCAAACCAGGCTCCGCGTGTTTGCTTTCCGCTCTCCCAGTCTCGCACGGAGCTCACGATAACCACCCGCCCCGCGGCCAAGGCTCCGCTCACCATGCTGAAATTCAAAAGGCACCTGATCACGTAAGTGGATTTTTTTTTTTTTTAGTAAAATACTATTTCCTTTGAAGAAAAGCAAAAGCTTCTATTGATATGAGGCTAGCTGCTCCCATCACCAGATCTGGTCACATCCTTGTAGGGCTCTTTATGCTAAGATATGGTTTGAGGTTAAAGAGATGATGGTAAATGTCAAGGCAGCACTTCGGCTCAGTGTAAATGCAGGGAAGCCTGGCTCGATTGCACTTCTTCTACTGAAATTCCCGGAGTTATTCCAGGAATATTATCTTTTGCAAGGCCTGATGCTTCAAAGGAAGAGGAGCTGCAAAGACCTCAGCAGGGCGAGCAGCAGGCCGATTCCCTCCATCTCATTCCAGGCACGAGCATGCCGCTCTCAGCTGTGCATGCCGGCTTGCAGAGGAGGTGGCAAATGGAAATGTGGCTCCGTGAAAATCGTTTGCATGGAAGCTCCAGGTAATGCCTCTGGAGTGCCCTGCCTTCCTCCAGAGGGTCTATTTTGCAGTGGACAGATGCAGAAGGGAGCAGAGCAAGGCTTGATTGAGTTCATGGCTCTGTCCATTGGTAATCCACTTGCTGCCTGAATGCATTTCCAGGCAAGAAAGTCATATCCCACATGTCTGCAGTGTCTGGGATACTGGACACACTGCTGCCATATGCCAAAATGCAGGATGGGGTGTTCTCAGGGACTTTCCCAACCTGCTGGTTTCAGGAGCAGGCTGAGCATCAACAGAAGCAAGCCCTTCTACCCATGTTGAAATGGAAGGGACCATTACCTTATCTTCTGGTGAGCATTCCCCAGACCAGTGTCGCTTAGCTCTTTGCTACATGTGTGAAGAAAGTAGCTGCAATTGCTATCCAGAGGAACCAGGTTTTTGTTCTCATCTCAGTTAATTCTCTGTGCAACACCTCTCGCTGTCTGCAGTTTATCTGGCTCCAGCAAATCAGTAAAGTCATGTTCTACCACCTGCCCATCCGGTGAAATCAGTTTTGGCCATCTCATGGCTGAGGTCTCAACCTTCGTAACTAAACAACAGACAGACTGGCTTTTGGTGCAACCTGCTGAGCCAAATTCAGCGTTCAGCTGCTGTGGCTCCACAGCTGAGAACTTAGCTCAGCTTTCACTGCAAGGGCACATTTGGGGTGCTGCACCCACCTTTGCACCATCAAAGAGAAAGCAATGTCATCTTTGGAGGTGACAGTATGCAGTCCCTGACTGTACGGGGCTCTTTGCTTAAAGTCCACCAGCAGTTGGAGGCATTTTCCAAGTCTCTGAGTCACCCTCCCAACATTCATGATCTGACTCATCCTACAGGGCAGTTTTGGACAGTTTTGGACAACTTCCAACATTCATTTTCCCAGCACTTTGATCTCAGTGATTTATTACTGCACCCATGATCTCATCTTGCCATAGTAAAGCAAGGAGAAAGAAGGAAATCACATGAGCTTCTTGTGGATAAAACGGCACTTGCTCAGTGTACATCTCTTGATCTTTACACATCCCACCATAGTCAGACAGGGGTCTGGCTCTATGCAAACAGCTGACTGAGCATACCGAAACAGCCAGCAACACGTTGCATGTTCATCCAGCATGTTGTCATCTGCCAAGACGTGGCAGACAAGCAGCAAAATGACCTTGAATCTTACACAGAATCTGAATCACTACAAGTTGAAACTTTAGCACTGTCCAGAAAATGCTTTAGAACCAAGTCCAGAAGTATAACTGCATAAAACACTTGCATAGGAGCAGTGCATGGTGCTGCTCACCTCTCCATCATCTGCCAGGAAGGTGTTGCATTATTCTTGCTGTGCGGTTTTGCAGATGTCCCAAAGGTCTACCAAGAGCAGGCAAGAGGACATGTTAGCTATATTGTTAAACACCACAGGTCTTGATTCCCTTCTTGCCACTTTCCTTGGCCTCACCAGGCTGCAGAACTCCCTCAGCTGCTCCTTGAGTGATGTGAGAGTCAGATCGAATCTCCTGCAAGAACTTTCCAGTATCACGACTGTTCGTTATTCCAGCCAAGACTCAAACTCAGAAAGACCATATTGCAACCGTGACAATTAAAATCTTCTCCAACTTGCAGCAGGTGTTACCTCATCCTGGAGGCAACTCATCCTTATCCCAGGATAAAAAGTCTATCTGAACATCTGTGATTTTCCCTACTGGGATACTTTGGCAATAGCTCTGTGGCAAGTCAATTCTCCAGAAGAAACGGAAGGTGTTGAACTGTGCCAGCAGTTTAAAACTATCATTGAATCAATCAGTGCTCCAAGGCCACTGTCACTGTGAAGTGTCATTACTTGGCTGTTTTCAACACTGCGAACTGTTAAGCTATGTCTTGGCACTCCAAGCATTTGGCATTTTTCTTGTAATACTGATTTATCTTTGATGGCACAAGGTTCTCCTTGGGCTCTTTGCATAGCTGTTTGCATGCTTGTCTCTTGTCTAAGCTTTTCCATGCCCTTGTACATCTGCTACTAACAACCTAACAGTTTATCAAATTAGGACTGATATTCGCACCCATGTGGCCCAGAGCCTAGATGACACATTCTGTACTCATTTTTCCAGTCTTAATTTGCCATATGCAGCCTGCTCTTCAAGTTGAAAATAAACAGCACAGAGCATGATCTCCAGTCATTTCTTGGCTTCTGCCATAAAGTGACTCAATGTTTCATCTCAAAGAGAGTTTGAGTTTTGCAGAGCCGGTGACCTCTGCATCTTCCTTGGCGGTGCTCACCCCAGGCACCTGATTCCTCCCAGGTCCAAGTATTTCTGCCATCACCAGTGCACCACACAGCAACAACCAATGAGATGACCATGGACACCTCCAGGTGGTTGTCAGATTGTGGAGATGCTGCAATGACCAACATATTCATTGCACTATGGTAGTAATTACATGCTTTTGAACCTTCCTCAGCAGCACTGACATGACCTAAGACTTTCCAGTAGAAATCACAGGAAACGAAATGCAAGCTAATCCTTTTTTTTTGCAGGAAGCTTAGCCTTCCAGCTGCTGCACTCTGCAGAATGACTGGCTTGTGCTAGCAAGCTGAAGGTCGAGCTCCAATCCCATTTACAATGACCCTTAGGGACAGTAAGAATCCTGCAGAGGTGGCCTGAGGTTGCTCACAAACAATAAAGACCCAAAGCTCCATCACATAATGCCAATGACTGCCTGAACAACATTGGAGAAATCAGGGAAGACTTCGTGCTGCCAGTACCACCTCAGAGGACAGGCTTAGAATAGGCTGCAGCGCTCTCTCCCAGATTCCTGCAGTTCTGATTTGGCTTGGAAATGATCCCCAGAGCAGAAACCAGAGGTCCGGATCAATTCCTTTCCTTCCTCAGGCAAAGCCACATTGCCCACTGGAGAGGGCAATGCAGCTCACCACCCAGGAGTGATCCTTTGTGACACCATCTACAAAACAGTGATCTTTAGTATGTAGTGGGTTTTAGTTAAAACATTGCTTCTCAACTCCAGAAATGTATCTGCTCTGGCTTCCCAAGAGAGACAAGACCTCTTCCCCCTATGCCCCTGTCTATGCCCACAAACAGAGCCTATGCATTAATCCTTTGCCCAAGAGCGTCTCCAACGTCAGAAATCCAGAGGTGTGGGGCATGAGGAAAAAACAGGTTTATCGGATCTGTTTATAGAGATAAGGCCACGGTACATGTAGGCCATGCAAATGTAAGCAGCTAAAGTCAGCACCCAGGCCACGATGGCAAGACACTCCTGAGCAACCAAGTGACTTTAATGGTTATCACTGTTTACTTTTTGGTGTGATATTCGTGTCCTGTCTGGAAATTTCCACTAGGCTGCATTCCTGGAGCACAGCCTTTGAGGTTTATCAGTTATTGCTGCCTCTGCACCTCCTTCCAGCCAAAAAAATGTGACCTTATGCTTAAAAAACAAAACACTGATATCTGACTCTTGTTTTTGCCTCAAACACATTCCTTCTATCCATACAATGTAACTAATGGTCCAAAATGTCTGCTTCCTTGCAGGAAATTAAAAGCAATGTTCAGATGTCAGCTTAGTCGGCTCTGGATCTCCTTCAGCCTCCTCATTCTCCTCCTGGTGACCCTTCAAGTTGTGGAGAAGCTGCAGCCTGCCAGGTAGGTTATAAGCAGGATTGTAAACCTGCACCTGTGTCCTCCAGTCTTTTACTGACAGCTGAGATGGGCTCCAAGCTGCCATCCTCAAAGTCACCCAACAGTCTCCTCTTGTGAATGGCAAAACAGTTCAGGTGGGAAGGAACCTCCAGGGATATCTTGTCCAATCCCTGCCCTTTATAGGGCCTGTTCTAGGGGCAAACCAAGCTGCTCCTGGCTTTCTCCCAACAGGTCTTGAAAACCTCAGAGACCGAGGACTGCACAACCTGCTTGGGTCACCTGCCCTTTTTGATGACCTCCTTGTAGGTACTGGCAAGCTGTTGTTAGGTCCCTAAAGCTGTCCTTTCTTGGGGCTGAACAAGCTCTAGTCCCTCAGCCTCTCTTCACAGGGCAAGTGCTCCAGCCCAAGCCATCTTGGTGGCCCTTTGCTGAACCCACTTCCTTTTATCTTCCTTGTATTTGAGAGCCCAAACCCTTAGATATTATCTAGATGTGCTCTAGAAAGTGTTGGCTAGAGGCGGATGATCAGTTCCCTGGATCTCCTGGACATGCCCCTGTTCATATAGCCCATGATGCTGTTTGTCTTCTCTGCTGTCAGGGCATGTTGCTGTCTCGTGTTCATCTTCTGTCTGCAAAGACCTCCAGGCCATTTCCAGCAGATCTGCTTCCTAGTCAGGCAACCTCCAGCCCACACCATTACCAAGGGCTCTTCCTTCCTACGGGCAGGCCTGGGCATTTGTCCTTGTTGAATTTCATTAGGCTACTGTTGGTCCGTTCCTCAAGTCTGTCGAGGTCTCTCAGGATGGCAGTCCTGCCCTTGAGTATATTGACTCCCAGTTCAAGGTCATCTGAAAATCCTCCAGTTTCCCCAGGCCTTGTCATAGTCCTTCTTCTCTCTTTCCTTTTGCTTTGTCCTTTTGCTTTTCCTACAGCCCAGAGTGCTCCATGGCAATGAAGGAGTCATTGCATGGTCTCAACTTGGCCTTCCCTTCCTCCAGTTACCCCAAGGCAAGAGCGCCAAGTAGTCAAGGCCTGCACCCACCTGCTGTGCCTCTCATCCCAAGGGAAATGGCAGAGCCCTTTTTAGGATCTCTGCAGCAGGGGGTTGTTTGGCTGTAGTGAGGCTAAATTCTTTACATGCTCCTTCCTTCCCTTGTATATTCGCAGCCTTCAAAGGCACTGGGTGCTGTGGGGAACTGTTCCAATGGCTCCACAGGCTGAACTCCCACGTGCTTGGGAAGAACGATGATGGGCTCAGGCAATTTCCAAGCAGCAGAGCAAACCATCTCTGATGAGCCTGTACGTTGCCCGAGATAAAAGGTCACCGCCTTGGGAGCTACGCAGGGCATCCCTGAAGTGGTAGATCATTATCCCCAGCTTTAGTCCACTCCAATGCTCTGCCAGAGCAGTGCATTCACTGCTCCCAAAACAAGTCCTCACTGCCAGCTGTTCCCTACTCACATGCTGGGTGCCGTAAAGGTCACTCCCCCCTCACAACAGTTAGCTAGTATCAAGATCAAGAGCTAAAACATATACCTTAACATCACTGTTTCTGCACCCCGGAGTGCAGCGGTAGAAGGATCTGCATCATGGTCCAGTCATCATCATCATCATCATAGAATGGTTAAAGCTGGAAGGGACCTCTAGAGATCATCTAGTCCAACCCCCCTGCACACGCAGGGTCACCTAGAGCACGTGGCCTTGTATATCCGAGGCTGTTCAGTTCCTCCTGTGCTTCGTCGTGATGATCCTTCCAGCTTATGCCAGACTGCACACAACATATCACTCCTGGGAGACTAAGCCGGGTTCTGGATAGGGTAGGGCTGACAGACTGCATGGTGTTGACAACTCATGGCTTCCCTTTTACAGAAACTGCCGGTGTGAACTGGAAAATGCCCTACAGCAGACCACAGGCAAGAACCAGAAGAGGCCCAGCCATAGCCTACAGATTCCTAAGCCACTAGGGAAGGACGTTCCCCCACACAGGCAGAAGAAAACCATGCCAGATTCCATCTCAACAAAGAGCGTGCAATACATTTTTTGGCTACGGCCAAATTTCAGCCAGACAACCCTGCTGGAAAGCAGCCCAGACAGTCAACAAATGGGGTTCTGGACAAAGCAATCTGTAGAAGGGAACAAGAAGATGATAAGCCATCTTTCATCCAAGATATTGAAATCCCACCTTCTTGGCCCTAGAAAAGCAGCCAAAGAGGGTCCTTCTCCAAATATTCTTGGCAGTATCTCCACAGTTACAAGGGAGGGTGCCGATAGCATCGGAAAGACACTAAGCTTCACAAACAGCATCACTGCAGATGAGCTTATAGGAACAGCATCATCCAGGACAATGCAGGCGTCATTTCAAGCCACAAGTTCTCTCCCTCCTAGATTGGTCAGCTCACCTAAATATGATATGACATATCCAGCTGAAAACCTACAAGCAGAAGACTATAATGGGACAGGTCTGCAAAGGGGGTTGCTCCCAAGCTGGACAGAAGCACCTACGGTTGAAAAGCCATCATTTGAAGAGAGCCAGAAAGTTGAAGGGATCTCTTATCGAGAAGCCACGTGCAAACCCAAGACCAATGTTGTTTTTCTGAAAGTCCATAAGAGTGCCAGCAGCACAGTCATGAACATCCTGTTCCGCTTTGGAGAGATGCACAACCTCACCTTCGCCTTCCCTCTCAATGGTGGCAGCCAGCTCTTCTACCCACGCCACTTCATGGCCAAGTTTGTGCAAGGGTTCTCCCCTGGAAGCGCTCCGCAGTTCAACATCCTCTGCCACCACATGCGCTTCCTACACCCAGAGGTAAGGGGCAAAGGCCCGACGTCCTGGGAGGTGGGGGGAAAGTGTAGGGCAAAAGGGGTTAGCATGGAACAAGGTGGGACACCCTTAAGAAAGGTAGACTCTTCAAGGATAAAGCAAAGGAGAGGGGTTTGCCCACTGGTTCCCTATGTGTTAGTTCCAGCTCCTAAGAACTTCTGTAAATGGATTTCGTAGATAGTTGGGGTGTAAGCTGTTGAGGCACCGTCTTGGAATAAGCGAGAGGAAGGGCTCTACAGCAGTCAGCAACTATCCTCTCATTCTTGTCCAGTGGTTCTTAGAGGAAGTCTTGTTGCCTAGACAGGACCAGCTACAAGAGGAGAACAACTTTAAGGCATTGCGTGGCTCAGGTCAGCCATGCCCCGCATCCATCCTTCTGAATATCACTTTTTAACAGGCCCATTAAATGGCCCCATAAACAGTCCCACATGATGGGGCACCCACGTGTGGCAACACGCAGGGGAAAAGCTTGGGCTGCTCCCCTCTCCATGTACCTCTTACAGGGCTGCCCACAGTTGACACAAACACACCTTTGATGAGTCATTCCCTGAAACCTTCTCCCATCCTTCTGCAGTACCCACCATCTCAAACCCCAGAGTGAGTGTCATTGGGCACAAGCAAACAAGCTCATTTTCCCTTTCCTCCCACCTTTAAACTTCCTTTCCTCCCTGCACAGGTGCAGAGAGTGGTACCAAGCACAGCTGTCTATTTCTCCATCCTGAGAAACCCAGTGCAGCTCATGGAATCTTCCTTCGCGTACTACAAGGGCACATCGTCCTTCTCCCGCGCCCGCAGCCTGGAGGAGTTCCTCCGCCAGCCGTACCGCTTCTACAACCCAAAGGTTGCTGACAGTCACTATGCCAAGAACCTCATGACCTTTGACTTTGGCTTCAATCCTGATGGAGATGTCACACCGAAGCGGGTGCACCTGATGCTGAAAGCCATTGAGGCATCCTTCGACCTGCTCCTTATCTCCGAGTACTTCGATGAGTCCATGGTGCTGCTGAAGGAGACGTTGTGCTGGGACCTGGACAGTGTCGTGTCCTTCCCACTCAACATCAGGGACAGCAGTACCAGGTCCTCCCTCTCAGACAGCATGGTGGAGAAGATAAAGAGGTGGAACAGGTTGGACTGGGAAATCTACACCCATTTCAACAAGACCTTCTGGGAGAGGATTGACCGAGACATCGGCAGGGAGCGCATGCAGCAGGAAGTGAGAGCACTCCAGCGGAGGCAAGCAGAGCTGGCAGAGATCTGCCTGCAAGGAAGAGGAAGCGTAGCCCCGAAAGAAATCAAGGACTCTTCCCTAATGCCACTGCAATATGGCAATGCCAAAATCCTAGGCTATAACATCAAGCAGGGCTTGGACAAGAAGACGGAGCACATGTGCCGGCGGCTGGTGACACCGGAGCTGCAGTACAGCAGCGCTTTGTACAAGCAGCAGTTTGCCCAGAAGCTCCAGGCCCACAGGGCAGCTCCCTCACTGCGGGGCATGGCGCAGGGCAGCACCTTCAGGCGACCTGCGGCGTAGGCTGGAGGGAACCCAAAACTGAGCGAACTTGTCCTCTCCAGGCTTCCTTCTTCATCTCCCTTGGCTGAGTACAGCAAGGCCTTGCTTGGTGCAACTGTCCAGCTGTGGGGAGGAAGCCTGAGCTGCTGCTCACTGCAGGTGCCCTGGCATTTGAGCAAGGTGTTTCTTTCCTCCAGGGAGCCAGCAAGCCGGCAGCTTGGTGCCCCCGAGATCTGCCAGAGCCCCTGGAAACCTCTGTCTCTGCAGGATCATGCAGGTCCTTAAGTGTGGAGCCTTGAGCGTAGCGGTAGGTTTCACCTTGACAGGACACTCCTGGGGTAGGTGCTGGACAAGCAGGGCAGGAGTTCCTGCCTCAGAGCATCGGAGGAGCCAGCCCAGGGATGGAAGCAGATGGAGCAGATGCCGGGAGGCTTCAGACTGTAGCAGAGCTGGATACAACTCGGAGTGGGGGGAAGCAGGAAAAGGGGCAGGCCACGTTTGGCCATTGCGGCCAACACCACCACAGCTCTCCATGGCGGGGCGGGCGCTCTCCTCCGACAGCTGTCAGGACGCTGTCTGTCTGTCGTGCGTATGATGTCTGAGAGGAATTAAACACGAGGCACATGAAAGCACCACGAGGAGTCTCGTTCTTACCCCGCAGGCGGGGAGGTGAAGCGTAAGCAGCACGGCCTCTTCCCGGTGTGTTCCCCCACCACAGAAGGGCTGCTCCCCACCTTAGGGTTGGTGGCTGTGGAGAGAGGTCATCAGGATAACCATGCCAAGGTCCTCAGGATAACCATGCCAAGGCCAGTCATGAGGATAATCATGCCCAGGCCAGTCCCCAGAGGCGACACCCTTCCCAGACAGCCCCAGATAGGCCCCTTCCTACATGCAAGGCACAGGAGCGTGGCAAGGTGCAGTCCTGCTCCCAAACATCCACATCTTCATCCACCTGCAGAGCAAATTCCAAACCAAATGCTAGTGCAGGGCAGGGTTTCCACTTTTTTTCCACACCACCTTTTGGCTGGGGTTCTTGGTGGCTGGCGGCTCCGCTGCCTCAGCGACCTGGCATCAAGGGACAACGCGCGGAGCCCGAGCTGCAAATCAGGTGGACGCTACCAAGCGGAGCTTGGTTTGCAGTTTGGGAACGCTTCCAGCTGCAGGTCTGCTCTGCTAAACCTTAATGCTGCGGGGCTGCAGGAGCAACCTTTTGTTAATTAAAAATAACAACATTTACTGTGACTCCTGTTGAATTCTCCCTTAATTACATCAGCAACCCAAGAGACAGACATCTCAGCCATGTGGAAACACTGCTTTGGAGAGGGAGGGCTTTTTCTCCACCTTTCTTTCCCTGCCTCCCTGCCTCTCCTCCCTTCCTTTCCCTGTAGATGCTGAGCTAGTGCAAGGATAAGCATCCTGGCCCAGGGCACTGATACAGCTATGCCAGACTGCCAGCTGAATAGACATGAGACAGGGAAATGTCTTGCAAACATCCCTAGCACCAAACACACCAACAAACCCACCACTTGGGACCAATTGTAGGAATATTCCATGCTCTTCCTGAGAAAGTTACCAGAAAAATTGGTCATGCTGGCCTAATTCATCTTAATTTTTCACTTTCCACACTTATCCTCAAATCAAATTCAGAACTAGGGAAACCAGATGGGATCAAACTCAGACCTCAAGTCATTTTCCTTATGCACTTTTCAGAGCCTTGTACTTGCATGGCTTTGTTCAGAACTCTGAAGTGTCCATCTGAAACATCTCTAGAATAAACAATTTTTTTTTTTGTCTTGGACAAAATTGAGAAATGGTGGAAATCTAATAAGGAAGTTCCATCTCAAGATTTTCCACCTGATTTCCAAATTTAAGAGGTTTGGGGAAAAAATGACTGAGGAACTGAAGCCTTCAAGCTTCTATTTGGCCAACTGTACAGAGCCTGAAAGTTTTCAGCTTCCATACAAACTGTCTGCAAAAGAAAGCTCAGGATTACATAATACTTGGTATTAGCATTCCCAGCTGCTCCTTCCCAGAAGAGGCTTGGTAGTGCAAAGTTTCCAGCTGGACACGATATAGAGGCTGCTCTAGGGTACTGCTGGTTTGGGTTGCTGCATTATTTTCTGGGCATTGCTTGTTCCATAAAGTTTCACTTCTGAGTTGCTTTAAAGTATCATTGCATTGGTTCTTCCCTGTTGTTGGGACTCACCATTTCCTGTGGTCCAATTCCTCAACCCAGGGAGAAACACGGAGGACCAGGGCTGACACATGGGGCAAAGGGGACTACTTGTCGGGGTACCAAACCTGGATCTATCATGCTCACAGACTCTTAATTCATTCTAAATCTCACACAACTTAAGCAGGTACCATTTCCTTATTCACTGTTTGTAACCAAAATAAATGGGGCTGGGTCTCCCTGCTGTTACAAGGAAAGAGTCTTGGAAGGCAGGAGTGGGTCCCCATCTCCCCCAACACAGAAGGGTGCTCTGACTCAGCCAAGTCAGCTCCTATGGAGGCAACAAGGTAAGGGACCCTTTTATGACCATGGTATCACGTTCTCCTGCGACTACTTGCTCCTTGCAGGGCTGTAGAAGGAGCCTGGCCAAAGCTGCTCAGGCCTTGGCTGGCAAATGGAGAGTCTGGCCAGGGAGAAGAGCAGGAGCAAGAGATGATCCAGGGAAGGCCAGGCAGGAGCTGGGGTTGCCTGCACATGTCATGGAGTGAAAAGCCACTGACTGGTGGTAAAGTGGGACCTACAGATCCTTCCACACAGAAACGTCCCATTTTTTTTTCGTGTAGAACTGGTATTTTGTTGCTTTTCATCCATGCAGGGATGAAAGAATTGAGTAGTATTCCCCACTCAGTGCAGGTGTCCCTATTTTTTTTTCTACCCTCCCCAAATCTCCAAGAATCTCCTGAAGCTGTAGGACTGGAGATGGACTCAGCTCCCCCAGAATGGTCACATCCAGTCCAGCTCTGACACACAGGAGGTTCATCCGAATTTTGCTATCACATTCTCTGGAAGCCACACGTTCATTGACCTGCTTGCCCAGAGACCCTGCAGAAGGACCTCTCCTCTTCCCAGCACTTTCCCCTCCAGCAAAAAGGGGAGGTGTGTGCAACTATGAGGAATATAGCTGGAAGCTTGTTATCCCGTGGTCAGGTTTTCCTCATCCAGCATTATGCAAGCAATGGAAATGAGCAAGTACGTGGGCTGGAAAGGACCACTGACCTTCCTGGAAAAGAATCACCTGGACCTTATTCTTTTTCTTGGTCTGTAGCTGAGGTATGGAAAGGAATGACACCACTCAGCTAACTGTTTTCAATTACTATTTCCCCTAACCACATTTTTACCACTAGAAATATTTCATTTAGACCCTGAGAGTAGCCCAGGGCTAGATCCTCCTAAGAGTCTGCACGTGCTCACGCACCTCCCTCGGGTTGTTTAAAAAATAAACAAATAAATCAGAACATTTCTGCATGCTGCATGGCTCGCCAGTAGCAGGTGAAACAGGCCAAAAAACTGTGTCAGGGAGGAGGGCCTCTAAACCCTGACTGCATCCAGGATGGTTACTGGGGTTTGCTCTGGTTTTACAACTGCGAGGGACACATTTGGATTATTTCAAACATTGAACAACGCAACAAGCTGGAAGTTGCTCAAGTATACCCACATAATGGTTCTCAGTTTCCCTATACTTCCCGAATACCAGGCGCCACAAGCAACTTATGCAAATACATTCATTTTCCCCATTGAGCCAACACGGCATGTTTCAAACTTTCCGGGTTCGGAAACTCTCCAGGCATTTTTTAATGAAGCCTAAGGAATTCAGACATCCTATTGAGGTTACCTTGTCCAAACCCCATAGGAGGCCTTAAAAACCTCCTCCCACAGTCCTGCCTCTAGCAAGCACGCAGCCAGGACCGGTGCCCGGTGAGATGCACAGCACCTGCACGTCGTATCGCAGCTCCTGATCCTGCAAGGCCGTCAGCCTAGTCCAGAAAACTGGCAATGAGCACACATCCTGTGTACGGCAGAGCTTGCAAAATCCATGGGAAAACCGGTCCCATCACAGGGTTTTCAGCTCAGACTCAGGCACTCATCTCCACGTTGCTCTTCTCCCCTTTCTTCTTCCGCTCCTGCTCCTTGCTGTCTCCCGATCCGTGGGCCGCTCTCGCCTTGGGTATCCTGTATTTGCTCTTCTGACTGTAGAGCAGGTTTCTCTGGAAGAGCCGTGGGATGTTCCCTTGGTACAGCAAGAGGGCAGCAAGCATCCCTGCAATGAGAGGAGGCCGTGTCCTTTAGTTTGGATGCATCCCTTCAATGCACCCCACCTGCCCGTCCTCCCACGGCTCAGCGGTTATTTTGAGATCCTTCCTGCGAAGCTGTGCATGACCAAAATCCATCTCAGGATGGACAAATAAAGCCCCCCCAACAGCATCTAAGAGGCCTTTGCTGTGTTGCTTTAAAGAGAGTTCAGCCATCGTGTATAGAAGTAAAAGCAAGACTTGCTTTGACTCCGAAGGGGTAAAACACCCCAGTTCTTTGACAGTGGTTGTCCTCTCCTGCTTTCTGCATTCCAAGCAGCAAGCATCTAGTTCACTGTGGTCTTCCTGAAGTTGCAGATGACCTCAAAAACGGAGCTCAACCTATCATTTCCTAAAATGCATTAGTGTGAATCTCCCCAAGCTGGGCAGACTTTGACTCGAGAGAGATTTTGTCTCTGTACCATGTAGGATTTGCCTAAAATGTAGTAAAAGAACAACTCAAGCAACAGGAACGGGGTATGAAACAGAGCGTTTGCCACGGGCAAAACTGAGGAGCAGTTTCCATCAACAGCATTTCCCCCTTGCAGGCCACCAGCAGACAAGGGGAGGTGCCCAGTCCTCCCTAAACCTCCCACCCCAAACCGTCCTGAATGCTATGGAGAGCGCAGGGCTTCCCGGGCAGATCTCACCTGCGAGGGGTCCCAGCCAGTACACCTGGACGTACTCCTGCAGGCTGCTCCCTGCGCAGTGGAAGGTAACGGCCGTGGCAAGGACGGGGTTGAAGAAGGCCCCTGTGAACGGCCCAGCTGTGTGGGAAAGAAGCAGAGCAATCAGTCTCGTTTGCACGTGGGTCATTTCCAAGCCAGGCACTCGCAAGGATGGTTGCTTTAGTGGCAGGTCAGATCAGCCTTGTTTCCATGCTGCTCTGGAAACAGATCCCCCACCTCTCCTTCTCTAACATCTAATTCGGGTTGTTTTTGGTCCCCATTTCCAGGATCTGATTTCCAAAGAGCTGCCTGCTATTCCCACATTCCTGTCCATATCTCCCTGGGGCCTTAGCAGCTTGAGCAAGCCAAGCAGCGTGGTCCATATCCCTGTCCATATGCCCCTGGGACCACATTCCTGTCCATCTCCCACTGGGACCTTAGCAGCTTAACCATACACAGCTACCAAGGTCCAGAAGATCTTCAGGGAATCCTAGGTCTTGACTGGGACTGTTCCTTCCCTTCAAATAAGGTGTTTTTCCTTGACATTTTCTGTCTACATGGCATTGCAGAAGGCAAAGAAAAGAGGAGTTACTCACCTGTATAAGCCAGCAGGGTGACAGTTGCTGCCAGGACAGGGACACGGTACATTGGGCGACTGTGGTGGAACTTGAGAATAACTAGATGGAAGAAAAAAGAGCAGAGACCTTCCACAAAGACACCGTGAGACAAGGACGTATGGAGGGAGGAACTGCATTCCAGAGACATGAGGTTCTGGATGAGGTGGAAATCCGTCAGCTCCCAGGACCAGTAGTACTTAGTGATAACCCATCCCAGACCCATGCCCATGAACTGGGCGAGAAGCTTGGCAGCAGTTGCTGCCAAGCCGGAGTCCCGGACAAGGAATTCCTGGAGAGAGACCGTCGGATTAGCAGATGCTCCATCGAACGAGGCACCATGAGCCACGAAGAGAAGAAAGAGCAGAGTGAGGGTCACGTCCGGGCCAAAGCCACCACCCCACAGGCCAATGTCCATCAGCATCCTCAGTTCAAGACAGCCTGCACACAACTGTAACGAGCCAGCAAGTTCTCTGGCGAGAGAACAGTACACTCCAAGAGAGAGCAGTCGCTTGGAAAGCTGCCTGCCTGCCTCGCAGATGCCTATGGTGAGGAAAAGAAAAGCAATAGAGACATTCAAGCCTGCCATGGTCACACAAGGAAGAGAGGGGACTGCTGTCAGCAGCCACAACGAAAGCTGGGAAGGCTTCTGCACCTCCTCTTTATAAAGCTCCATGTAAGCAAACGTGGCACAGCCTGACAGGCACCCTGTCAGCTGCCAAGGGAGCCCTTGCGAAAAGCCCCATGTGCTGCCCTGCTGTGTCATCGGCAAGAAACACCAGCGCCTGCTCCTCTCCGTCAGCCAGAAACTCCTGCCCCGTCAGAGAGGAGACATCCTGCAGGTCACAGCGGCCTCTCCTTCGCGGAGCAACGTCTGCTGCTCACCAAGCCAGCGGACTTATCTGCAGCTAGATCAGCTGGCAGCTTCCTATTCGGTGCAACCACGAGACCTTCATGTCATCTCCACCTCGTAGTCACCGACCCCTCTCATCTCCCTGCCAGTGATTTTATCTGAGAGCTTGTGGCTGTTCTCTGGAGCTGTTCAGGTTTTAAAACGGAAACTAAATAAATAAATAAATTAGTTCTCACGGGGGACCATAAACCACAGCATACTCCTCCACTCCAAACCCGGGAGGCAAAGGGACTTTTCTAGGAAAGCCAAGGTGGGCTGAGCAAGCCCTGCTCATGAGAAGTCCACCCGTCTCCCTTGTCAGGCCTCCCCGCATCCAAGAGGAGGCTGACAGCACTGCAGAGAGGTCCGCAAAGACCAGGCTCAAGAATTGCATCCCATCTCCTTCCAAAATGGGCCAGAGGGGCAGTGGTGGCAGGAACCCACAAAGACTGCAGCAGCTCCCAAGTGCAGTAAGGTGGGACCTGGAGAGCAGCGCTCTGCCCCAAAGCGGAGCCAGCTCTACCTGTATTATTCCTTAGGGGGGTACCTTTGCCTAATCTGTTTTTAAAGCACTTTACAGCACTTTACACTAAGAATCGTCCTTCATGTCTAACCTGAACTTTTCCCTTAAACTTCAGCCTGGGACTCCTAACCCTATCCCAACAGTCCTGCACTCAAAAACAAGTGACCTTTTCAGCTGCTGGTGTCCTGAATTCGGACGGGAGGCAGCGCTCCAGCAGGACTCCGGCAGACCGAGGGCCAGAAGATGCTCCTCTCATCCGTGCATCCCACCATAATGTTCACTCTGCAACTCACGGCCCAAATTGCATCCACGGGCTGGCAAGTCCATGCCCTTCCATTTCAGCTGCACCCGGCCTCTCTCAAACCACGTTGCTGCTTGGTCAAGATCACGTCAAACCTTCTAATCTCTTTCCCACATGCAGATTTCTCCACATGGGTGACACCAACTTAACAAACGCCTGGGTGCTGTAATCCACACTGCTAACAGTCAACAGTGATACGTTCCTCACCAGGTTTTCCAAGGCCCCACTTAATACATCCTTGATGGTGATAAATCCACCCTGACCGCATTTGTCTCCCTGTCATCTTCTGCTTTACTGGGTATTTTTATGAGAATGGAAGTTAAAACCCAATGACACAGCTTCCTTGCTCCTTTTATAAGTAAGCAGCAGATTTATTTTTTTTTTCTCCCCAGCATTTTGGGCACACTCAAAAATAGCCCAGAACTAGGATAAGCCACAAACAAGAACCAATAAGAGTAATTAAACATTTCAACACTTCCTGCGGATGACACCAACACACGTCCTGGCATCAGGATCAGAGACCTTCACTCAGATCAACAGGCAGTTACAACATGGTTCTCCCTACCACAAATATAGGAAATATTTCTTTGTAAAAGAGTGCATAAGAAAAGTCACACTGTCACATTATTACCCAGGTTTGAAACCCAACCCAACTTTAACGTATATGTCTTCGATCTTTGAACATGAGGGATTTCATAAGCGACCAAAAGTCCACCAAAAAATATAAACCACAAATAGCAAAGAGTTTGTCCGTCTCTCCTGCCCCAGCCTAAAGTGGAGTTAGCACCAGCGTACGCACAGCCACTGAGGAAGGTTTGTAGAGATCTACAAAAATGAGCTTTCATGCAAAACCAAAACATTTCTAACTATTGCTACAACAAAAAGCCAAGCAAAGACTGACTGCCACGTGCTAGTGTCTAAAAAGCAGGAAAATGCTCTTCCCCTGCTCCCAAAACTACAGTTAGGGCAGAGAAAACCACATCAGGATGCAAAAACTGAGAAGATAAGAACCCAACACCTGTTCCTTCCCATGGGAACCTATTGCCCCCCATTCCTTTTCAAGCATTTTTAAAAGGCTGCCAGCTCCAATACCAAGTGACCCAGACACACCAGCATGTGGTTTGCTCCTGTTAAACCTGTGCTGGTTTTTGTTGGGGATTTGAAGAACAGCGGTGGATCGGAGCATTCGGTGCTGCTGGAGCTCACAGCCTATAGGAAGTCTTCACTGTCCGTTTTCCCAGAGTGTCGCTGGATAAAAAGTAGTATTTGGGAGGAAAAAGAAGTTGTTTTCTTCCAAGATATTTCATAAAATAAATAAAATAAAAATATGGCCAAGACATCGCATTGAAGAGCAACACCACCCGAAGTGTAATGCACTAGCTCCCCCTACCATGCTATTTTCAAATCCCCAAAGCTAAAAATCTCAGCTGAATTCAGTTTACACTTAGGTTATTTAAGGCGATTTGCCCTGGGTAGGACACTTCTCCTCCAAAATCCAACAGTAGCTCCACCTGTGGTCAGGCTCCGTGATACCAGAAACCATTGGCACACGTCTTGCCACCTACGTACAAGCAGCAAGACGTCCCAAGAGGTCATTCATTGGCTTTGGATAAAGACCCAAACTCGGAGGACAAACTTTTTCCAGGAGAAAAATAAACAAATAGCAAGGAGGGAGGCTGCTTGGCTCTGGGAACATTGACTTCAAGGGAGAAGTGCAGCCCTAGGCATGCCCGCTCACATTGAGAAGGTGCCCTGTACCCATTATGGGAGAAGAACATCTATCCCTGGCCCCACAGGACCAGGCGCATCCTCCTTTCTACTGATTCAATGAATCTTCTCCAAATCATTTGAAGAAGCAAAGCCTCCTGGCTTTTTAGGGTCCTAAAGAGGACCAACAATCACCATCAACTTCCTATGGGCAAAACCCATCAACCCATGTAGCAGTCATGGTGGTGATAGGTTTACAATTGGACTTGATGATCTCCAAGTTCTTTTCCAAACATAATGATTCCAGGATTCTATAAAAATATAATCAGTTCCCACTAGCTGTCTCAATCAACAGGTCAAGAGGTAAATGGATTCCTAAAATGGTGTAACACGCTGGAAGATGCTCTCCCTTCAGACCCTGGCTGACAGAGGAATGGGTAGAAGCAACACCATCACTGCCATGCTACAGCTTCATCACCACTATCCTCCTTGCTCTCAACAGATGGCAGCTTGCTTAGCTGCATAGTATAATTATGAGTCAGTAACTCATTGTTTCTACTTGTTATTATTCCATAGAAAATGCTTTCTTTGGTTGGAATTCGAAATAAGGGGAAGTTCTTGAGAAAATCTGCTTCATCCGTGCATCTGGAGAACATCATCAAGACCATAGCTGAGCTTGGTGGAGCTTTACCTACCTTTGCCACATGAGTGAGGACTGTAGGACATTGTCAGGCCTGGCCAGGATGGCTATGGTCACCAAGAACAACCTGCACAGGGATTCAAGTGACCCACTATTCTGGAAGTGATGAGAATGGGGTGGGGGAAAAGTAGTTGCACAAATCACTGCAAGCAGCCACATGTCAACCACCACCGCGAGCCACATAATCACACTTGATACCCAACACTTCCTCATGCACCTCCTCATAAATGCCAAATAAAAATGAACACTTTTTTTTTCCCCACTGTTCACCCATTACTGCTGGTGTAACTCAAATTATCATCATTGCCTCTGACTTTAGAGCCAAGCTACTCTGCTTTAACTCGATTTACCATTTTTATAAATCTTAAACAAAGCAACCAAAAAGATGACAGGCTGTTCTTGTTAGTTTAGAGCAGATATGTAAAAAAAAAAAAACAAAAACAAAAACAAAAAAAACCCACTGTATTATATCTGTCCTTATCAAGTAAGAAGTCAAAATGTCTCAGCTGTGCAAACTGCATTCAGCCAAAATCCCACTCACCTTAAAGCATCACCAACACTAACACCCAGGTGAAACAGTGAGTTCCATGGAGCCATTTCTCCTTCCTCTTGTTGGCTTTTCCCCCAATAAATTAAATGCAAACATCACTTAAAGGTGGTGCTAGAGACCATCAGTTTAAATGCACGAAGGGTCATGATATACAAAGACACACCAACAAGGTAACAGAGCCAAAGAGCTGGTGCTTTGTGCAAAACAACATTTTCGTATCTGGTTGAAAAGGCCTTTGAAAAGCTGTTCCTTCATTTTCTTTTGTGGTAGGAGCAAATCTTGTACAGTGTTTAAGGAAGGGAAGAGATGGTTTCCCAGCATTGCCACATGGGAAACACCCAGTCGGATGACCGTGACATTCACAGCCAGGACAGGACCACGTATGCACTTCAACGGAACTGATCCTAATCTCAGAGTAAATCCATCTGCACGTTCTTCTCTTCAGCTGGCCCCCAAAGTCTACCAATGACATCCCAAAGCCTGGGTCAGTTGTCTGCACCCAACTTCCTCTCTCAGACCAGCTCTTGCAGTCAAACACTCGTCACAGAGGAGGGTGCAGAAGCAGTGGTCAAGTCTTCCAAACAGGAGACAGGACAGCTCATTCGCCCTGGTCATTTGTTTCCTACACTGCAGTATCTACTAGCAGGACACTGCATGGTGTCCACAGAGCACCAAGTCTTGGAATAGTTACAGAAACATCATATTGCCAGCGCCTGATCCCACTGCGGGCCCACGGGGTCACCGACAAACCCCTATTTAGGGTGTTTGGAAGGTGCAAGACCAGAGCAGCCAGCCTGCTCTTTGAGAGGTTGCTGCTCTGCAAGCAAAGAGAGCGACACACATCTGGTTCACGATGGGTGAACGGGATGTTCCCAACCCGGCTCTCCTCATTCAGCCGTTGGGAGCATTTTGCAGGAGACAGGACTGACTGCTAGCGACAAGGAAAGCTTGCAGGTGCCCTATGAGCTTGGTACAGGCACTGAACGGGACAGAAAATTTAAGACAACACCGGAGAGACCTGCATGGCACAGAATTATTTCCATCATATCTCGGTAAGAAACCTAATGTCAAACAAACACATTCTGGCAATCTCATTAAAACAGTGAAATGTTTCCTCTTTCCAACTGCTCTACAAGGTACCAACCCGTGCAGAGGATGGATGGGGAGGGCAAAACGGAACTTTTTTTTTTTAAAGTTTATTTCTAGCCCTGAAAGAACAGTTATTAAACAAAGTCAACAAATACAGTAGTTAATATTGCAGTAATAATTAAATAACATAATGGGATTAAATTACACAAAAAGGCAACATTAAAATCTGAAGACAGATTAAAAAAAAAAAAGTTTGCACCTGCTTCCATTTCCATTGCTAATGTAGAGGAACAAAGGGAAAACAAACCAAAGACATTGATTCATTTCCAGCTGTGGAGACCTTCAACATCTTCTCGCTCCCTTCCCAGCCTGCCTACTGTCCCCTCTGCCAAAGCCACCCCACTTCTCAGACCTGGTCTAAGCACAACTCCCTGCACCTTGCTAACAGCTCGGCAGATCAAAACACACATGCTCAATGCCGTGCTTACTCCCGATGGGAAGCCCGCTTTATTCTACGGTAAGATAAAAATATAGGAATCACCAATATAAGCTCCAAGCTGCCCAGCACCCTGGATACAACTGATGGTGCCACTGCACATAACGCTTCAGCTGTATTCCGGGCATGGATATTGGATTACAGTCTGAGCTTACGCTGGAACCCGAGCGGGAAAGCAGGACATCTTGGGCTCCCGGCACTTTCGGAAGCAAAATCCTCCTTTTCAGCAGCTGCCCCAGCTCTGCCACTTCTCCGTTCGACCAAGCTGAAGGAGAAACAGCAAGTTTTAAAAATGCTTCCCTTTGAGGGGCGGGAGGAAGAAAAATACTGCATTTTGGGGCTTTTGTGCATGCATGCAGCTCATGCCGCAGCAAAGGCGACGTGCAACCCACCAGCGTGCAGAAATCACAGCACAGCACCTTCCTACTTTCCTCTTCCAACTCAGTTACTACCTCGCTTCATCTCTGACCCTAATTTCTGGCAGCAGGTGTTAAGAAATCCAACAGTCTGGCAGTAAGGCTGCTGCGGAGGGAAGGGGAGAGGTTTATGCTTTCCAAGTGTGCTGCTAAATACTATTCCCAACGTATAGCAAGCACTGAGATACGTTTTGGCAGCTCCTCGAATACGCAAAGTTTTGTTTTGGTTTTTTTTTTTTTGGTTTGCTAAAATGACTTCAAGTTCAAAAATCACCTCATAAGTGGGCTCCTAATCATCTCCTAGCAGACAAATGTTGTAATACAAGATTTAAAACATTCTCATTTATCAATAAAAGTGAACTAATAAGTTAAAATTACTTAAGATTTCAGGTTTTCTTTTTTCTATTTAAAAAATTATAAATTCAGCACAAGCTATACTTATCTCGCTGCTTAGACCATGCCATCCAAAAGGGGGGAAAAAGGAGTGGAAAAGCTCCCAGTTTAACTCTGGCAAAAGGAGTTTCCGAAAGTCCATTGCCAGCAACGGACATAGAGAGAAGAACAATCAGAAAGGTTTGGTCTTGTTTTAAATCTTAATCTCTTAACCAAGACTCCTTGTTACTCTTGTCCACTGGGAAGCCACAGCGTTGATGTTGTGCTTAAGGCATCTGGCCTGGGGAGCTCATCTAGATTTCCCTGGAAAGTGATCCTTTCTAGAGTTGAAAAACCAGGAACGTTTGCGTTCTTACAGCTACAAGGGTTATTTATTCCTTTAATGGTACAACTTCCTCGGGTACTTACCACGGAAGAGGTTACCAGAATACAAACCGAACCATGGTACTGTGGTTCCTTACAAAATAAGGCATCGTGTTGGTACAAAGCAGCAGCAAAAAACCGAGAGCCTTGCCTTGCTCCTCCTTCCTCACAAACACAAGCAGGCTCAGCTGTTCTGGCCCAGCCACTCGAATCCTGGAAGCCAAGTTTGGTCATATCTGGGCTACCAAAATCCCCCCAAAGTCGTTATTTCTGTCTCTGTGCGAATACTGCAATCACCTACAGCAACGACTTTATCTTCTGCCAGCAACGTTTGCAAAAGTGCATGAAAGCTTCAGTCTGGGGTCCTTCGTCCATGCCCAACCATAACCCTACCCACGCACGGATTTGTCCGACTGGGAACGCAACAAAACGCAGATTCCCACTAAATTAATGGCTGCTCTTTCACCAAATCATTTGGCACATCACAACCGCAGTTGGCTCTTCATGAGGCTGTTCTGGAGGTTGAAGTGTGTGGCCTGTAGCACTAGAAGTAGCCAGGGGCTATGGATTCTTCTACAGTTGCCTCTGTTAATACCCAAGCACTCAACCACTTAAGCTGTTCACTGCCCCTAGGGGCAGTTTTTCTTGCACTGAGCATTCGACTTCAGCCATTCAAGCTGGTAAAGCGTCTTCAGTGAGAAAGGACCAGTGTAACAAGTCTCTTCGGCCTTGGATTAGTCAAATGAGCCTCAGCAACATCCGGCAGCACTGTTCTCTGCTCCCAACATGTGTCATCACAGAACAGCACTTTGACATCTCCAGGTGTTTGTAATCTTCTGTTTTTAAAAATCCTGCATCTTCAGTGTCCTCCGATCTCGTTATTTGTTCTTTTGATTTCATTAGTACAAATGGAGCACATACAAAAATGGAAAAAAATAGCTCTAATACTTAAAATTCTGACAACTCCATAGGTTGATGCATTATTTGCTGGGGGAGGGGAATTACAACATATACAAAAATGTATTTGATACAAAGAAGGGAAATGTAAAATTAAAAATAGTCAAAGGCACCAGCATAACTCTCAAAGCCCAAGTCAGAATACAGATACGTGTCTTTGAACCACCCACCACCCAAAGCAAAATATCCCATAAGCTCCTGGCCGGCAAGTCTAACAGGGAAAAAAAAAGAGCAGACAGGAAGACAGCTGAATTTTTTTTCTTGCCCTGACTTGAACTGATGGTCTGATCATAAATGAAGTCTCTGACCCCTCTCCACATATCCATAACCTGACATCCAAAGTCTTGACTGATCATGAAGTTTCTACAGGGAAGTCCCACTTCCGATGAGAAGATCCACGGAGGCACATAAGAAATGGTGAATACTTCTCTTCCCCCTCTTTTCTACAAAGAAACATCTTAACACATGATGATTTCTTAAGTAGCCAAGCTGTTAATTCTACAGTACAGCCAACAGCTAATCTGTGAAAAGGAAGGAGAGGCAAGATGTACCTTCACATTCGTCTTACTTGCTGTTAGTCTAGTCATACGGGGCTTACTGGAGCGATCTAAAGGTTAACGGGCAGAGGGGAGGAAGAGGAGAAGGAAAGAGATGAGCAGGCAAAATTAGTGCTGCTCTCTTGAAAGCTTGAATCTGTCATTCAAGTATTGAAAGTACCCAGAAGGGTATGACGAATGGGAGCTGTTACAGCAAAGTCATCAAAAACCCTTAAAACTCTAGGCACAGTAAGTGGCTTTTCTTGACTGTCTGCAAAAAAAAAAAAAAAAACTAAAAGAAAAAAAAAGAGAAAAGGCCAGTAATTCAGTCCTCAATTCCTTCTGGATCGCAGAAAGGATTCACTAGAGTTACCACAATTTATCTTGGGCATCTTCTGGATAAGACTTTCTTCCCTTTTGCAGACTTCTTTTTCCCCAAACCCCTTCCCTCCCACCACAAGTGTAACAATTTCATATATTATAAAGATTTGTAAAAAAACAAACAAACAAACAAAACAAAAACACCACAAAAAGATGGAGGCCATGGCAATAATGTTAGCGGTTACTCTTCATCGCTTCTTTGGCTGCTAGGATCAGTGGTGTCAAGCTAGACAGAGGTTTGGCCAGTTTCAAGAAGGGATGCTGCCAGGAAGAGAGAAACAGAATAGATTACTAAAAGACCAGTTAAAGGGAAATATAAGACACACTATCTACACAGTGATTTTGATTCCAAGATATGAAAAGCACTGCAAGACACTACCAATGCACAGCTCCTGAAGAGGAGACAGGTCCAGGGAATGGTTCATAGCAGCTGTAGCCCTACAGGCATCCCTCCCTTTCCAGAAACAGGCTTTTCTTTCTCCAATAATTCACTACAAAAAAAAGTTCCCTGCTCAGATATCTTTCTTCTTTCCACTTCTGCTCATTTCAATGACTGTTGTCCTACTGTTGGATAATTTAGCAGTGGTAGAAAGACACGGGTTACTGCTTCGAAGGCTTCAGAGCACACAGTACAAACTTTACCTATGGTTTCCTCCAACTATTCTCTACTAGACAGCCCTCAAAAGCAAATACAAAACAGAAGAGGGGTCAGTCTACACTGACATTTATCATAGCTTTACTTCACTACTGCCCTCTGTGTCTTTGGGATTGATCAGAAGCTGACTCTTACCTGCAACAGTTCTTTGGCTGATCCTCTTTTTTCTACATCCATCTCCAAACATCTGTTTAAGAAATCCCGGAATATTGGTGACAGTTTCTCAGGATTTTGCAGTTCCGGCGTGCCATTAGTTGCTATCAAATATAAAGCCTGTAAAACAAGGAACATTGTATAACCAAGCCAAATGTTGAAGAGATGTCACAGGTAACTGCAGTTTACTGGAGTAAACTGGATTAGGTGGAGATCTGCAGCCTGCTTTTCCACTGCACAATTTTAGGCAGCTGTGGCCCATTCTTGCTAGTAGCAAAATGACTGCAGATGTTCAAAACCTTTCAGCAACAGTTTCTTACAAGACACATCTATATACCATAGCAGAGAAAGCACCAGCCTCTGACACGCCAACCAGCGTTTTCCATAACCTAATGGATTTAATAGACTTCCTTAATTGAAGAAAAGTAAAGACAGAAGAATTCTTAAAGCATAATCTTTTAGGTAAAAGCAGGTACAATGCCTCAATCATCTTCTGAAAAAGCTTCATCAAGAATTCAGGGCAAGGCTGACTGTAAATTCAATCGACATTCAAGAATGTCAGCTCCCTTTTGGGGGAATCTTCCTGCATTGCTGAAGCTTATATTTTCTTTTTTAAAAACACAAATACTGTCCAATAAATACACATGAATCCACTGAAAATAATTACCTGGTAAGCACCCACAAACAGTTCTAGCTATGCCTGGCGTTCTTACCCGCAGGGGGTTTTCATTGAGGTATGGGGGTTCTCCTTCCACCATCTCGATAGCCATGATTCCCAGAGACCAGATATCCACTTTGGGGCCGTAGGCTTTCCGTGTGACCACTTCGGGAGCCATCCAGTACGGAGTCCCAACCATAGTGCTGCGTTTGCTCTGCTCCGGGGTGATCTGAGCGCAGAAACCAAAGTCGGCTGTGGGATAACAGAGATAAAGGTTAACTCAGCGCATCCTGGGACGTGGGGTTCTTAGAAGACTTCTCTATTACTACAAATATATTTTACTCCTCCGCACTTGGAGGCTTGGGGCAAGGGGGTGGGACGAAGGTTGGGGGTTTTTTGGTTTGTTTTTAAACTATATTCTTCATATGACAAGATTCAATGTGGAAGATAGATATAAAACCTGAGGTGTTAAAGTAAGGCAGACTTCCATGGAATGAAGATAAGCCTTTTTGTCCCCTGGAACAAGGACATAAACTTTATCCTGTAGAATGATAGATTTCCCAATCCCTCCTTCAGGATTCCCAGAATGGTACCAGCCAAACAAGAAATCAAGCAGAATCCAAAGGAAAACTGTTCTGCATGTGGTATGTTAGACTGCCTGGACTACAAAAGATTAATCTCCAAACCATGGCTTCTGCCATACTTAAACAGGTATTATTTCTGCAGCTATTGAGTTCAACATTTCATCATAATTTGGACATCAAATACAGGTGCTACGACTGACAGATACAGGAGCATAACGCTTTAGATATGTGAAACATTGCCCTACTCTGCAGAAGGAACCTGGACAAACAAACCTTTGCACAAGGCAAGTACTGAAGAGAACAACCACACTCAAGAAAACAAGAAACGTCACCTATTCCTATAGCCTTCAGGTGCAGCAGCAATGCATGTTCCATCATGTTACTTTATCCAGCTGCAGCACTCCCACTTCCCAGGCATGTAAAGCATCAATAAGAACAGAGTTAAGGCAGGAACCAGATTTTACCTTATCATTGACACTAAGCTTGAGAGAGAGAGAGAGAAAGAGAAAGAAAGAGAGAGAATGTAAAATTTCAAAGCGATTTTGGAAAGTGTTATGCCAAAGCAGTGCTGACAAAAAGAGCCAGAAAGTGGTGGCGAGAGGAAGCTTTAGAGACAAACTGCCCCCACCCCAACTACCAAAACGCTGCCTTGAGTAAAGCAAACGGAGTAGCCCCTAGGCAGGGAGCCAGCCTGTCTTTCAGCCAAGTCCTTTGGACAGCATCACATTCGGTGCAGAGAACAGTCTATGTTATCACACGCATCAGAGAAGCAGCAGGGGGTTTTCTCATGATGCATGGACAGCATTTTCAGCACCAGGGCACCAGGGAGGAGAAATAAAGGCAAACAAATCCTTCTGGCAGGTCCATCCCTTCCTCTACAAGCAGATCCCTGCAGCAAATGCACGGAAATTAGCGGTGAGGGCAGCTTTTCTGAGATCTGCCCAGGGAATGGGCCTTCACAGCCCAGCTAGATGTTGCCTTCTTCCAAAAGGTGCCATCATGCCATGCCTCCAAATGCTGGAAAGTCACCCCTAAGAAGGGCTCAGGTGACAGGCAGATCAGTGTTGTCTCTTCCTATCTGAGGTTTTCATGAAGCCACTGTCCACTGGGGCAAAGGAAGGGGTTTGAAGAAAATTCAGCTTATACCCCACTCGGCCCAACTTCTTTAACCACACATCAACAAAGTCAAGTCTCAAGCCTGATATTCCTCCTTCACAAAGCACCTTTTAACAGCTAACTCATCCCACCTCCACCTACTCCTTATTTTCCCCCAATTTCCTGGGGCTGATGCTTCTTCACACTGGTGGCTCCCTCAATGCCCCTTACCCTGTCCCTTCTCCACTGCTCTTTACATGGCCAACAAGGCAATATTTCACTCAACAAGTCGGTTAAGCAGGTCAGATTGCTTATAACCCTCCTTCACACTGCACCTCATGCCAGACAGGAGACCACATGCCATCCAGCATCAGGAATACTGCTGAAAGAAGCTTTTTTTTTTTTTCCCCTATGGCATTTCACATTCTTACCGACTGTAAAAACACCATCCCTTTGCTCCTTGG